GTTTTAGGTGAACAACTGGTGTGGACACTTGCGTAGGACCTAATTTGCTATTCCCCAAAATATGCAGTCAAAACACTAGCTTTAACCTTTTGAAGAATGCAACAGATAACATAATTCCTTAAAGAATATACAGATAACATCTGAAAGCAGAAAATAGTATAAATTCCAATGGAACAGGAGCTTTAAAAAGTACTATTTGTGCTTAATTAAACTTGGTTTGAAATGAAAAAGGTAAAGCAGGTGTCAATTTGTATGCAAATATTTCATTATGCAGTAGTGTATTTTCTCTTTAGAAAAGAAATGCAAATTTTATACTGACATATTTGGGTTTCTAATAATGATTACATTCAGTCTTAAAATTGAGTGGTTCAATAGTTTAGAAAAGTCTAACTTATCAAACTTGTTAAACTTGTCTCAAAGACAAAAATATTTGTATCAATAGTGATTAGTTCACTGTTCTACTAACTGGGACTTGAGGAGAAAATAAGTCAAAGTGAGCTAAGAACTCATCTTCTTCCATGACACCATCCCCACACCAAGTATTTTATACCTGTATGTGTAAATATTAGCTAATTAGCTAATACCCATGGAGGATAAGAGGCAGGGGAAATATACTGCTCAGGAAGAGAGATGCTGGGGCTGGCAATGTCAGGACTGCAGATTCGTGTCTTGGCAGTGCCTGCTTTTACATCAGACTTATTCAAATGATACCCAGGTTGTTTCTCCTGCTCTTCGTAGTACAGGAAAAATGAGGATTGGAGAACTGAGAGTTGGAGAATGACTAAACCATCTTTTTTTGTGTGTGTGCACAACAGCTAGTTAATAGTCCTATTTTTCTTTAAATGACTGCTGTAAAGAGATCTTATTTTGGCTGAAACATGAGGTGGCTAGAGGCACTCAAAATGAATTGTGTTTTCATTATCAACCAATTCCAGAAAGAATCCCTCATTATTTATGAAAAAGGATGACAAAAATAAAATTTTGCAATTTTGTTGAAGTGATATTTCAACTTTCTCCCATGGAACAGAGGTAGAGGACTGTATTCCACTTCTTTGTTAATTTTATCACCTTATCATTATTATTTTTACTAGAAGTTAGTGCAACCCAAAGAATGATTTGCAGACCAGCATCTTCAGCATCACTTGAGACCTTCATAGAAATGCAAATTCTCAGGCTCATTCAAGACCTACTGAGTCAGAATAGCTGGGAGGTCTGGCTCAGGAATCTGTGTTTTAACAAGCTCTCTGGGTGATTCCTATGTGCACTGAGGTTTGGGAAGCACTGCTTTGGACAATGAGGGAGGCACTCAAAAAAAGACAGGAGTGCAAAGTAGGCAAGCTTTGTGCTTCTTCTTTGCTACTGAAGCTAAGTTAAAAGACAATTACTCAGAAACCAAAGGAAGACTCTCCTGGTCTCCTGAGAAGACATGATCCTATCGGAGAGCAAACTGACAGAAATAAGGAGCCGTCACTTCCAGAATGACATTTCTCCTCAGCAGGGTGGGGACGGGGATCACATTCGCTGTATTATAGGGCACCAAATCCTAATACAAATGTATTACAGTGTTCAAAACAAATTTTGCATTACCAACACTACTGCTGCACTCCTTTAGTATGAATATTTATAAATAAACATCACAATAATTCCTACATTTCTGGTCTAAGTTGCTAGTACTGTATACACTTATGATATGGCTGTCTTACTTCACAAGTGTTTATCAGCACATTCAACCTGGAGGTTTCACCCACCATTTACCATTTACAGACAAAGCAACTGTGGTTCTGAGAAGGAAATTTTATGTATAAATAAAGTGTAATTTTTACTCGTAAATGGTAGGTTCCAACTTAGCAGTTAATGACTAAAGAGTAATGATCCTAGAATTGGAGTTATAGAAGTAGCAAGCCCTTCTCCTAAGAACAGGGCAAAGTGCTTCCTAGGAAGCTAGAACGTAAACTTAGGACAATCCAGCAGTAACACTTGCTTTCTGAATATTATTAACCAGGAGAATACTGGGGTGAAAATCAAATTAAAAACCTAAAAAATATTATGTATGACATTGTAACAATTAAAAAAATTAGGAGAGCTATTACCATCCTACCATTTAAACCTTCAAAAGCCTGAGGATATACAATGAGACTGAGATAAATGAAACCATTATCTGGTGAGTCTGACCAATTTAAAAATTGGACCACTTATTATCTCCCCTGTAGCTATTCTATTTCCCAACTAGCATTATTTTTAAAAAATATTTTTTTCATTTCTACAATTATTTTTTATGAAAACAAAAGAAATATTTTTTTGTGGTCAATGATGATATTTTTAATACTTATTTTATCTATCTACCAGCAAAGAAATATCCTAATCTTGAGGGGAAAATAGTTTTATTTTTCATTTTTAGTAGACATCATAACAGCTTTTGATTAGATCCAGATGATTAATCATTATTTTCATTAATTATTCAGACAAAGATGTTCATATATTATATTTCTCCTTCCTGACAGCAAAGGACCTCTTAGCAAACTTGATTAATTTGTTTTGACTCCAAATTAAGGGAAGTGTAAAATAAATAGTAGTTGTTTTCAGCAACTTGAAGAAACATTAAGAATGAATAGACTAAAAATAATACTAGAAAAAGCATATTGTTTAAAAAAATTGTTGAAACTTTGTTGTTAACACAAAGATGCCTTAGAAAATGTTATGGTAATTTGAAAGTTTTCTCAATGTATATTGTCAATCTGCACATAAAAAAGTTAAATAATTAATATAAAAGAAAAACCCCTTTTGTAAATTAAAAAAATTCTCTAAGCAAAGCAGAGGTATTTTTGAAATTAACAGTCATACACAATTTCTGATGAACAATGCAATTTTTGTTTATATAAATGCACCAGACTAGGATATATTCAAAAGCTTGGTGTATACATATATATTTATTTATATTTATTTGCCCCTGTATAAGTAGTGATGTTTAAATTATTTAGCTGATTCAAGAATTCTTTTTAATCATGAAAATGGTATCTATATACTTGTAAGTAATTTGTGGTTCTTTTCATATCATATAATTGACAAGCATAAAATGAAAATGTTAATAATACCAAAAATGTATAGTGTTTATACTTTTTTTTTTTAGTTTTATGTGATTTTTTTTAACCTGCCTTAAGTCATGAAAGCTAGCAAACAAGCCCAGCAAATAAGGTACACTGTCTTTTCATAAATAGATCTGTAAAATGTTTTTCAAACAGCAGGTGGCAATCTCTGTAAATTTGATTGCAGCAGGACTATCTTGGCTCTATATATGCAGATGAAAGACAGTTTTAAAAGACCAGTTAAGAACTGTGGTATGCTTAGACTGATTTAGATAACATCAAATATTGAAGGGGTTGATTTAATTATGCTTACTATTCTGTGAAATTTCTCCCTAGGCAAAATAAATGTTTTTGTTTAATACATCTTAATTCCTCTTACGCAGCACTGGAGGAATTTCACAGTGCTAATCTGAATAGGTATTATCCTCTTAATAATCCTGCATGCTGGTTACTTCTTATATTGAATTCATATGGCCTTAAGAATTAGCAAACCTAATTTTAGTTTTTGTTTTTGTTTTTTTTTTTTTGAGATGGAGTCTTGCTCTGTCGCCCAGGCTGAAGTGCAGTAGTGCAATCGCGGCTCACTGCAACCTCTGCCTCCTGGGTTCAAGCTATTCTCCTTCCTCAGCCTCCTGGGTAGCAGGGATTATAGGTGCATGCCACCACAGCTGGCTCATTTTTGTATTTTTAGTAGAGACGGGGTTTCACCACATTGGCAAGTCTGTTCTCGAACTCCTGACCTCAGGTAATTCATCCGCCTCGGTCTCCCAAAGTGCTGGAATTACAGATGTGAGCCACCATGACTGGCCCTAATTTTAGATCTTTTTAAAGCCCCCCCAAAACTCCAACTGACATATTGTTATTACTAAAATCCAGTTCTGTTGTTATTCTTAGTGTTGTACTGTGAGAAGTCTTTATAATTCTAACTATGGAAAAATACAAAGCTTTGACTCCTGGATATCTCTTAGAATACCTTGGTTTTTCTAAGTTGAAACAATCATGTGAGATAAAGGCAGAAATTCATAGCATTCTGAACTGAAAAGGAACCTCAAAGATCCCACAACCAGCTGTACTCACTACCCCCAGGAATCAGACAGCCGGAGAGATCAGTTAGCTTGCTCACAGAGTTACTAGCAGCAACAGGACTCTAAGTGGGTCTTCAAATTCTCTAGGTTCAGCACGTTGACACTGTATTGTCAAGTTTGAAAATTGTGTCCTGTCACATCTTTGGTATGTTTATAGTATTTTTCTTAGGATATCATTATAAAATCCTGACTTTCACTTACTTATTGAGTCCTCAGTGTGTCAATAATATTTTAATGGAATGTACCATGATTAGGAAAGAGTTTTTGTTCTAAATGATCCTGTAAAATATGTGCTGTATAATCTGGGCAGTTTCTGGCCTTTCATTATTTTCTCTGCTTATATGTAAAATCTTTTAATGTAGCAGGACTTTCATTTTTTCATTAGCATTAAGACTTTATACTTTCAGTTTTTTAAAATGCATTCCTCATAGGAATTTCCTTTACCAATGAAAAATGGGGCAAAGGCAAGTAAATGTAGATAACCAAGGTCACACATCAAGGTGAGAATAATTAGCAACAGAACTTAAAAGCATCTGAATGTCAGCGACACTTCATCTTCTCATTCATTTCTTATGTCTTTACATTTCCAGTACATATATCCCAAGGCAACTTGTTTTGTATTCTCCACAAACAAATATTTCACACGGAACAATTCTATGACACATAAACAGGGAATGCCCCACATAGTAGAGAAAAAAGTAAATTGCCACCTATCATTAGTAGTCCTTTAGTTGAGGAGGTATGACCCTTAACCAGTGACAATATTTTTAAATCTTTTTTTTTTTTCAGGTTACAAAATGTTTCTTTTGAGATAATTTGGGTTCATTCTCACCAGGGCATCGCTGCTCACTGCATCTTCTCACTTCTTCACCCGTTCCTTCACATTGCTGCCCTGTTATCACTGCACCCTGACAGGTCCTTATTCGCCTTTCCCAGCCACCATCACAGGACTTGGAACAACCACTCCAATGGCCCCACTGATTCCACTGACCATTGGCTGAAAGAAATGTTTCATGGTCAATGTCAGTCGTCTACCACACACTGCTTTAAAAATTTTAAAATCTGAGAATGTTACTACCCCTTTCCATTTTTGTTAAT